GATTTCACAAAGCACTAGTTTTGCCCTCCCAGACAACCACCGGATTCAAAGGAGATGGTCAGAGAAATAAACAGCATCAACTGTAACTGCAAGCACCAGTGCTCAGCGTTCTGACCTACAACTGAAGACAACTACAGAAGCCAAACTAAAAGGTTAAAATACCCAAACTGAATAGTCCACTGGGTTCTGAAGTAAAAATGTCCTGACCATGCACAAATCCCAGTGAGCCACCTGGAGATTCTTGGAGGTGACCCTGGCCATCTCAAGGGCTTAGTTTGGAAGCAATATGAGTTAGTGAGTCAGGGATATTTGAGGGCAGCTAGGCAACCGTTTCCAAGGGAGTGCAGCCAGTACGGGCAAGGGAGGATCTCATGGAGCTGTGAGTGCAACCCACCTGAGTTTTGATGGCACATCTGTGAAGAGTCTCAGGATAAACCTTGTACTGATGCCAGGATGATATGTGGTTGGGATAAGGACGTAGCGGCCTTGCTTAAGGATCCTCTTCAAGAACACGGTGCGTGTGTTGATGTACAGAGATGTGGCCACTCTCTCCTGCACAGTCAGCTTGTGCAGTCGATAGCTTCTGTTATCCTCCACCTACAGCCACAGAGCAGTTTGGGGATTAACACAAGGAGGGACAGCAGAGCTGACAGGATGTTCCCTGCACATCACACTGCCTTTCATGGGCAGAAAAAACAATGTGCAACAAAGGCAAATGGTTTGGCAAATGGTTTTTCACCCACTGAAGCTGTGGCAGAGATAGTTCTGATGGGCAACTCAGTGCTCCAAGCGCTAGCCCACACAGGCTGCCAAACAGTGCTGTTCTGCTCTTCACTGTATCGGTATATACCTGTATACCCCTACGTGGAGGTGAAAGTTGGGGACTGGCAAAGACACGCATCCATTCACAGAGACATAACGCTACTGCAGAGGTTTGAATACTTTCAGAGATGCGTGCACACACCAAAGACTCCACCTGCTGAGCTATGTTGCTTAGATGAGGCTGAGATTCATCTGCCTCCTTCTCTAGCACTTAGAGAGAGCATTCCAGTTTTACACAGCAGGCTCGCAATCCAGATGCACACAGCTGTACTTTCATTGTCCTTCTGAATACAAAAGCCACAGAATAACCACTTATGTTTTGTTCTAAGCCTTGAAGCTGTGCTTAACCATTAACACCCTCTTCAGGGAACTGATGTTTGCCACAGCAGTTAGAATATAAACCTATTTCTTAAGCAGCTCCTGGGGGTAAAGACAGCCCTACATTCTTTTCTGATAGATCTCTTTTGTCTTCAGAAAATTTAGGCCATAGTCTTCCAAAGACCTTTAGTCATGATAATGAGCGTGGTGGGTTAGAGCACTTCTGAAAGAGAGAAATTATTGAACAGAAATAAAGGTAGAGCACTGATACTTCTCTGAAGGTATGATTTGCTTTTCCAAACCTTCCCAAATTAGATATACAGGCATGAACAAGGCAAGGCAAATTATGCTACTTTCTGTAATGACACTTTTCAATATATGTGGTTAACAGGTGGTTGTCAAATGAATAGGTGTGATGCAGATGGCAGCAGCTCTACCTGTTAAAAAATGACTATTTTTTAGGGTAGGGCCATAGACTCAGTGTAGCCCCACTAGCTATAGCAACACATGATAAGGTAATCCTGATCCGCAGTGAAAAAGCAGATGCATAGCTGTTTCTCTTGCTTTCGTGCTGCTTTCAGTTTGTATGTTTTCATTTTACTCAATTTGTTCTGGGAGTGCAATTAAATTACTGTTTGGGATCCCTCTGGTTCCTTTTCACATATGCTCATTTCCTACGCTCTACTCCGGCTTTTGAAAATGCTCGACTCTTCTTTCTAAGCGGCAAAAGAAAAATTGCAGACTTTTCAAACTCATTCACTTGGCTGTATTTGCTGATGAAATGGAGGCAGAAGCCTTCAGTGAGAAAAAAAACACCTCCAAGTTTCAAGTGTTAATAGTTATTTTTGTCTTTCTCTTCAAAGCTTGGGGTAGGAAAAGCACTTAAAATTCTTTTGCAATAGGGAAAAATGATTTATGTTCCTTTAGTTCAAATAGAGTTTGAATTGAACCAAATTCAATTTAGTTCAAATAACCAGTCTGTCTAATGTCAGCTCTGGTGACTGAGTGCAGCACACCCGCTCAGCTCATGCTGAGAGGAGAGCCAGACCCCACCATGATAATCATACCTCTGTCTGCCAAAGGTCTCGCTGCCAGGATGAAGGACTGCTGAACAAACTCCGAACCAGCAGTGCAGGTGGCTGCCTACCTTGAATATTTCAAAGCCAATTGGGATGCTGTCTCCTTTCCCTTCTTTCTTGTATTTGCGACGATCCTCCTGTTGTAATGAGACCAACACTTTGTCCTCAGTCTTCTTAACATCAAAGACGTACTAGTACAAGAAAGCAAAGGGCAAGCTGTTAGAAATGCCTTAAGAAACTGAGGAGAAAGCCATCACAAAAGAAATACATGCATACAAAGGAGGCAAATGAAAATACATTTGGGGGTGGGAGGAGAGTTTTCCATAACAGACATTCCCAGCAATTCACAGCTGAAAATGAATACTACTAATAAGAATTTCTAAACCAAAAATATCAAAGACACTGAAACAGGTAATTCACATAAAGGACAGTGTGAGACAGTATTGCAAAATAACTGTTGAGGCAGCAGAAGAGAACATCTCCTCTCAAAGCAACAGACAAAAGATTTTTACTTAGATACATACAAATCAGGAGTGAGATTAAAAAAATTAAACAAACAGACTCCAGATGGTGTCTTTGATCAATTTTGGATTCTTCTTTTAATTTTAATGTCTAAGCAGGGCCTGTAAATTTCAAACATCTTGATATAGGATCTGCAAATGAAGGAACCCTCCAAATCTTAGTTAAAAAAACCCAAAACAACAAAATGACAACTATGTTCCACACCTACAATTTCTATTTAATATGACAGGAATGCTAATTTTGGACTTTCTCAGTTTTAAGGAAAATCTTACAAATGCCCAGTAAAAAGGGCAAAGGAGGACTTCTGCATCTTTAACATGCAAATCTTTTATCCAAACTGTTTAAAGTAAACGTGAATCAACTTGGGTTTAAGACCAAAGCAAATGATTTCAAATTTATGCAGCAGTTCCCACCCCAATAAATCAGACATGAATTGTTGATTGTCACCACCAGACCATTTCACAAGTAGGTGCCCTTTCAGTAGATGTAAAAGGTCAGATAGGTGTTTTCTTTATATGACAAAGAATTAAATGCTCAAATTCATGCACTGTTAGGGACTCCCTTAAATTCTGTTTCTTTCGTGATACAGAGGGCAAATCTGAGTTGTCAGAACTAGGGGAGGGAAGAGGGCATCAATAGATGTTTTATTCTTCCATCCTCAAAGACCTTTCAATGTGAGGCAAACAAATAAAAGGATAAAACTGCAGCGGTGCGTACCTTTCAATGTGAGGCAAACAAATAAAAGCATAAAACTGCAGCGGTGTGCAGTTGGGTACTACGTGTACCATATGTACTGATTTAAGCCGAATTTCTCTGACAGCATGGAGAAGAATATCATCAGTGGTTCAATTCCCCTCTCCCTGCTCCTCCAAGAGCTGCTAAAAAGCAAATCCTCATTGAGCTTTGCTCTGAGGTGGATGCTGAGATTGCCCTGGTTACTGTTGTGGAACTATCCCCTGTGGTCAGAGCTCTGCAGGTTAAGGCACCACCTCATTTCTCATCCCTGACCCTCGCTGTCTCGGGCAGTGTCACACCCACACGGAGGAAACACCAACCTCTAGCAGAGCTGGCTGCAGCACAGCAGTACTGGAGAGAAAATCAATAACCTTCCCAAGCCTCCGGGCTTCATTAATTGTTCGCAGTATTTACAGTCCAGACTGTCCTCCTGCAGAACTACTGCTTGCTTTACTGGGCTGGCTGGTTTTCAGTAGAGATTCAATGCTTCTTTGTACTCTTACTTGTGTGCGATATCAACACTGCAGCAGAGAAAGCACAGGACCCTAAAGAGAGTCCTAGGAGTTGTAAAGAGCCTCTGCAGAGAGAATCTAAAAAGCAAGATATGCTGCAACACCTAGCAGGGCACATTTCAATTCTTGTCC